GGCAGCCCGGCATCAGAACCCATGCTCTTAACCACAATCCTATGCTTCCTGTTTTTCCTCAAATAAATATTTATGAGGATGGGAATTTTTTTTTTAATCATCATTGAATAAGTATGACTCTCTAGCCTCTGAAAAACATGTTAGCCAAAGAGAAGTATGTCTTGCTCAGTCTTGTTTCAGAGACCCATTGCTTCAGTCCTGCTGATTCCATTTGCACAGTCACTGACATCTGCAAGAAGGACCTCCTCTGCTTATAGCATCTCCTTCCCCTTCCAGACTTCTGAACTGCAAAGACGACCTCAGCAGCCTGCTCCCACCCTCACAGCCTGCCCTCAGATAACCAATCAGCCCAACCACAGCCCAACACCCGCATTAGCAAAGCCATTCTGACCTAATCAAGAATTAATGGACAGTGCTTTGCAGTAATTTAATTTCCACAATAAACCTAATGAGCAATTTAATACAAATGTCAAAAGGAATCACTTAGTTGTTGTCTGAATGTTTTCTCCTGCACAAACATTCATGAGAATTCAACCCAGCTGCCTTTTATAGCCCTGTTAACATATATTCCAGTAGAAATAGGGAGGCCCCTTTGCATTTAGTATTATTAGTAAGGTTAACTGGGCACTTAATTAGCAATTTAGTGGTTAGTGCTCTATGATTGGGGAAGATCCCAGAAGATTATTTAGCAGAATTAACTAAAGGCCTTTGTCATGTCTTCCCTAGGTGCCTTCTGCACCCTCCTAAGCAAAGCTGATTTTTAATCAATTGCAAACAAGTTCACAAAGAGGACATGGCACTAGTGATAAATCTCCTCCCCCAGCCAGGGCCATGGACCCCTCCTGGAGAGAAGGCAGCAGGAAGATGCCCCCATATGGTGCTCCCTGCTGTCGCTACTGTCTCTGCGGCCTTCCACAGGGGCAGTTCTGTGCTTGACTAATTGTTAACTGTGTATAACGATGTTTCTGGACAAGAAAGAGGAACGATTTCAGAGTCCGAATCTTCCTTTATCAGAAGCTGTAGTTCATACTTAAACACTCTCTGAGCTAGTGGCTCCAAAGCTGTTTGTCACTGGAGGCCAAAGCTGACCTGATGCATGACCATAGCCCTTCCCTGTTTGCTCCCATAATAAACATAGGCTCTAACGTAGAACTTAACCTCCTAGTTCTCTGCTAAACCCACATGAGGGGTGGGGAGAGAAGGTATAAAAACACTACCTTACATAGATCCTTATCCTATCTTTCCCCATTGAGTCTTTCAAAAAAAGTTTGACCAAAGGTTCGTTCTTCCCTTGCTAGCTTCCATGTTGTTGTTGTTAATTACCATGGAGTGGATTCTGACTCAGGCGACCCCATATATGGAAAGTAGAACTGCTCTATAGGGTTTTCAGGACCTGGCAATGTTTCATTGCTGTACATAGGGTCCCTGTGAGTTGGAGCCAACTGGGCGACACCTAACAATAACAACAACATAGGGCTTTCAAGGCTGTGAACTTTCAGAAGCTTATCTACAGGTCTGTCTTCCAAGGTGCCTCTGGGTGAGTTGAACTGCCAATATTTTGGCTAGTTGTGCAGTGCTTAACCATCTGTGCTGCCCAAGGACTCCTTACTTCATGGTTACTGCTGGTTTTTGGTGAAGTAAGAGACAAATCAGGCTCTGAAGGATCTGGTAATCTTGTAGGGGAGCTAGGGGATGAACAAATAAATAATAACACAATGTCACCAACTACCTACTCTGCTAATAATAATTTAAAAGAAAAATTACACTCTAATGGACTCCAACTCACAATGACCTTATGTGTGCCAGAGTAGAGCTATGCTCTGTCACATTTTCAATGACTGATTTATTAGAAGTAGAATGCCAGGACTTTCTTTCCATGCAAAGTAGAATGTCAAGCCTTGTTTTCCAGGCACCTCTGAGTGGATTCTAATCGCTAGCTGAAACAAGTTTACAATTTGCACCACCCAGGGACTCCTTGCCCTGAATTAGGCATTTTTTATTTTTATAATGTATTTCATTTTTATTGTTATCATTGAGAATATACACAGTAAAACATAGCAATTCAACAGTTTCTACATGTACAATTCAAGGACATTGATTATAACCATTCTCATCCTACTTTTCTGAATGTTTCTCCCTCCATTAGTATACAATCACTGCTCCTAAAGTTGCTTTATAATCTTTCAATTTGCTGTTGTCAATTTGAACTCATGTAAATAGATCTGTTATTGATAAGTGCCTCAAGTAAGTTCCAACTCATAGCAACCCTATGTACAACAGAACAAAATGTTTCCCTGTCCTTGAGTTCATTGTTGCTGCTACTGTGTTAATCTGTTTTGTTCAGGGTCTTCCTATCTTTTGCTGACCCTCTACTTTACCAAAGGAACCTGTACATAGGCTAAGAGGCAATCATTCAAACAGAACAAGGGGGTACTGCATGGTTTAAAATCAGGAGGGGTATGCATCAGGGTTGTATCATTTCACCATACTTATTCCATCTGTATGCCAAGCAAACAGCCTGAGATTCTGGACTATATGAAGAAGAACACTCAATCAGGATTGGTGGAAGACTAATTAACAACCTGCATTATGCAGATGACACAACCTTCCTTGCTGAAAGTGAAGAAGATTGGAAGTACTTACTGATGAAGAGCAAAGACTACAGCCTTCAATATGGATTACACCTCAACATAAAGAGGGGAAAAAAAAAAAAATGGACCAGTAAGCAACATCAGTAAGCTCTGGTAGCATAGTGGCTAAGGCACTTGACTGCTCACCAGATGGCTGGCGGTTCAAACCCATCAGCCACTCCTCGGAAGGAAGGTTGGGCAATCCTACTTCCGTAGTGATACTGCCTCAGAAACCCAAGGAGGGGTCGCTATGAGTCAGGGCTGACTCGACGGCACATAACAACAACAACAACAAGAAGCAACATCGTGATAAATGAAGAAAAGACTGAAGTTGTCAAACATTTCATTTTACTTGGATCCAAAATCAACACCCATGGAAGCAACAGTCAAGAAATCAGACATCATGTTGCACTGGGCAAATCTGCTGCAAAAGACTTCTTCAAAGTGTTAAGGATCAAAGACGTCACTTTGAAGATTAAAGTGCACCTAACCCAAGCCATGGTATTTTCAATCACCTCATATGCATGTGAAAGCTGGACAATGAATAAGGAAGACTGAAGAAGATTTGATGCCTTTGGATTGTGGTGTTGATGAAGAGTACTGAAAATACCATGGACTGACAGAAGAACAAATAAATCTACCCTAAAAGTGCAGCTAGAATGCTCCTTAGAAGTGAGAATGGCCAGACTTCATCTCACCTGCTTTGGTCATGTTGTCAGGAGGAACCAGTCCCTGGAGAAAGATATCATGCTTGGTAAAGCAGAGGGTCAGTGAAACGGGGAAAACTCCTCAATGAGATGGATTGACACAGTGCCTGCAATGATAAACTCAAGCATAGCAAGGATTTTGAGGATGGTGCAAGACTGGGCATTGTTTTGTTCTCTTGTGCATAGGATTGCTATGAGTCAGAGCCAACTTGTAAGCACCTAACACCAATGACAACTGCTTTAGCAAGCATCATGTCCTTCTCCAGGGATTGGTCCCTCCCGATAACATTCCCAAAGTACGTGAGATGAAGTTTCACCATCCTCTCTTCTAAGGAGCATTTTGGCTATACTCCTTCCAAGACAGACTTGTTTGTTCTTCCAGAACTCCATGGTATAGTCAATATTTTTCAACACACCAGAACTCAAAGATATCAATTCTTCTCAATGTTCTTTATTCATTGTTCAGCTTTCCCAGGCATAGGAGGTGATTAAAAATATGACGGCTTGGGTTAGACACACCTTAGTCCTCAAAGTGGCATCTTTGTTTTTTAACTTAAAAGTCTTTTGCTACAGATTTGCCCAATGCAATGTGTCATTTGATTTCTTGACTATTGTTATTGATTGTGGATCCAAGTAAAATGAACTCCTTGTCAACTTCAATATTTTTCTCTGTTGATCATGATGTTGCATATTGGTCCAGCTGTGAGAATTTTTGTTTTCTTTATGTTGAGGTGTAATCCACACTTGAAGGTTGTAGACGTTGACCTTCACTAGTAATAGATAGATTGAGGCACTTTTTAATTATGAGTTATTCCTTACAGCAACCTTATGATGGAAGAATTGTTATCCCATTTTGGTTAAGAAGACTGAGATTCATAGAGGTTAAGTAATGAACTAAAGTTCTTGCAGCTGGAAAGAACCAATATTTTAAACCCAGGGTAACTCATTATCACCCAAAATCTGAGCCTTCCTTCATTGCAGTTAGTATATGTTCAGGGAATGAAAATTATTTTTAATTTTAGCACAAGAAAATAGAATCAAAAAAGTAAATCAATCTCCCGGTGGGGTGGGGGGGAATCCATCATGCATTCCAAAGCACAGTGTAAGTGATTTGGGAATTATCTGTGCATCACTGCTCTACTCCTTGGCATGGATAATGTGGAGTCGGGAGTAATTACAGATACAGTAATAACACAGTGGCATGTTGATGAGTTTACAGAATGAAGGGATGCACTCAACTTGATTAAACAAAATTTGCTGAGTCTTAGTATGTGTATGACACACTGCTAGGTGCTAAGAGGGAGGGAGATAATGATGAATAATTGAGATATGGTCCCTGAACCCAAAGAGCGTAATCTCAGTGAGAGAGACTAACATGTACTTCACAGACTGTTTTATGGAGTACACTGTAGTACATACTAGAGTGGTTAGGAGAAGAAATAATTGATCCTGACTTTGGAGCTGTACATATGCTATTCATTAAAGAAGATGTTGGAGCTAGTTCTGAAAATGGGTGGGAAGTCAATGAGCTGAAGGTGGTTGGGGAGGGGAACAGCATCTTGGACTAGGGAAAAATGATGCACAGAGACCTGGAATTATAGAGGTGTGTGTTGTAGTTGGGGGAGGACAGGGGATTGTTTCATGTGACTAGAGAACAGACTAGTGGTCAAGAGGAAATGATGGCAGGAAGTAAAAATGGCCAAGTAAGTATTGGGGAGCGAGGTCAGATTGTAGAGGGTTTCAAATGTCATTCTAAAGAATTTTACCTCATACAATAGACAGTGCAGCCCATCAAAGGAAGTGAAGAGGTACAGATGTGGGATGATTAACCTGGAAAAAAATACTGTATTCAAGGAGAAAACACCTCCTTGCCTTCCCCTCCAAACACCAGAAACCCATTTCAGCAATGTAGGAGGTGAGATGGAAATAAGAGAACATGGTGGAAAGAAAAGATACTATGGGATTCAAACCAACAGGAGTTGGTACTGGATGTACAGGGCATGTATTTGGAAGGTGTCCAGGGTATACTGAAGTTTCTGCACAAAGGAAAATGGGTGTTTATTATTCTGACTGAGATAAGCCAAGAAGAAAGGCTAATTTGGGTGGAAGAGGAGGACTTTGATTTGGGCATATTCAGATAGTGGCAAGTACTGGGATGTTCATGGGGCAAATTCAGGGCCATATCTCAAACGATCATTGAAAACATGGGAAAAAAGGAAAGTCCCCAATAAGTGACAGAAGGGTAATGGGAACAGGGTAAAGAGAACAGGGCTGAGTCCCTGTTCACCCTCCAGCTTTGTTTTTCTCATGCTTTCCCTCTCAAGCTTCACTACTAAACTACTATTCTTTTCTCTTTGTCTTTCTTGCCTCCCAGCCCCTGTCCAGGGTAGGAGGATGGGACAGAGGTGGTCTATGAGACAGTGTTTCCCAGGGCCCAGCACAGTGTCTACAGAAAAGCTTATTGAGTAAATAATAGAATGAGTGAGACAAGAAGGCTAAGGATGGAAACATGCAGACTACTTATATTTAAACACAGAGTAAAGACAAGCAAAGGGTGGATAGCATAGACAGAGAGATGGAAGAAGTACCAGGAAAAAGTAGGGACACCACAGAGGAGGAATGGAAAATCCCACTGGATTTGGTGGCATAGTGCCTAAGGCATTTGACTGCTAACCAGAAAGCTGGAGGTTCAAACCTACCAGCCACTACTCAGAAGGAAGGTTGGGCAATCTGCTTCCATAGCGATACCACCTGGGAAACCCAAGGAGGGGATGCTATGAGTTGAAATGGACTCAACAACAGTGAGTTTGTTTGTTTGTTTTTATACCTAAGAATAATGTTCTGGAGACAACCGTCCTGGAGGAATCGAGGACCAGAAGCCAGACCATGGTGGACTGGAGAGTAGTTGGGGTAGCAAATGTAAAATATTGTGATAACGTACCTTTTAAGGATTGAATTGTGTTCCTCAAAATATGTATTGGAACCCTAACCCCTATACCTATGGATGTAATCCTATTTAGAATAGAATTTTCCTTGTTATGTTAATGAGGTCATATCAGTGTAGGGTATGCCTTAAACCTAATGATTTTGGATAAAAAGGACAGATTAGACACTAGGAGGAGCAACGAAACACAAGTGGGGGAAAGATAGATATCATGTAAGGGTCTCCAAGAACCTTAGGAACACGAGGGCTATAGAAGAAGCTGAGACAAGGACTTTTCCCCAGAATGAGCAGAGAGAAAGAGCCTTCCCCTAATGCATGTGCCCTGAATGCAGACCTCTAGCCTCTTGATCTGTGAAAAAATAAATTTCATTCATTAGAGCCACCTACTTGTTTTACTTCTTAGCACTAGGAAACTAAGACAATTCTTCATTAGCAAGGCCAAATTAATAAAGAAAATTTGTTGTGTTATTTATGTAAATCTAATAACAAATCTAATTAAGTTAGAATCCACCTTTATCATCTTATTTAGGCAGAGCTTCCATTTTCACTTGAATAATCTCTTTAACATTACAGATGTTTTCTAAATTATGTAATACAATTCAGAATATATTATAGTTTTTTCTGTGTGTAAATGAAAAGCCGGTAGCCAAAAAAGTTTCCTCTAAGTAACACCTTAAAGTTATTTTATATTTTATGTAAAGTAACCACTAAAGCAGGTCAGAACTACCCAACTACAGCTTTTTCAAAAATTCCAAAACTCTTTCCTCTGGCTTTCACAAAGAACTGAGAGCAAAGTGTTTTGCCTCAATGGTTGCTTCAATTTTCCATTTTCATTTTTTTTCCCCTAACTCATCAAAAGTATTTAGGCTTCTACAGTGAGGTAAAATCTGACCCATCAAAACCAACGAGAATTTCATGAATATCTTTCTCTCTGCAGATACAAAAGGTGTTTAAGAAACTTCCAGGATTCAAAGAAGTCCAAGTGTTAGGATTTAGGTAAGTAAAAGAGTCTGCCTCTTCTCATTTTTTAAATTACTTTTTCCCTATCCTCTTTTAAAAGCAGTATCATGAGGATTATGAGGTCCCTTTTTTCACAACTGTTTAGCTCTGCCAAATCCTGAAAACTGAATACATCTCGTATAAAGAAATTGCCTAATTAGAACATGACTCTAGGTAATTTTTTAAGGGAGTTACACAGGAGCTGCGTTTCTCACTCCCTCAGGGAGTCAGAAACACTGTTCTCTGCAGAATGATTATCTGCTCTCCTTGAGCAATGCTGTCATTAATGAATCTTTTAGGAAAATATCTCAGTACAGATAGATCAAAAAGAAAATAAAAAGTAGTAATTAGTTACCTTGGTGTCTGATTGCCTGGCTTCCTAATAATTGGAAAATATTATCATCATTTAAACAAATCATATTACTGGAAGGAGAAAGGTGAATGTTTTTGTTACCTAGTGCCACTCTGAGAGGAATATACAAGAAATGGGATGGCTTTAACAAACAGGAGTTAATTCTCTTACAGTTTTGGAGGCCAGAAGTCTGAGTTCAAAGTACCAAGCTTTAGGGGCTGGGTGAAAGCCCCTCAACCTTGTGTTTCAGCTTTGCCTCCTGCTCCCTACCCACTGAAGCTGGAGGCTTTTTTTCACTCAGGCAGCTGCTGGCTGCTGAAGCTGACAAACCCAAGGTCAACGAGTAAAAAGGCACAGCCACAATATTACCAAACAACATGGCAGGCCACTAATTCAAGTCCAGAAAAAAGTCCCAAGATATGGCAGGGTGTGGCAGCCTGCTAAACAATGAGTTGGCTACATGCAGGGTTCAAGCGTGCCAAAAAGCTGGAGACCTTCCTCAAAGTGGCTTCTTATATATAGGAAGCAGACCACATCCCTAAAGCGGCTACTCAGCTGTAGATTCCACCATGGAGTTAATTACCAATCTCATCATGGGGAATAACTACAACCAGCTGCCCAGCCTCTCAAAACCAGGCCCAGCCAAAATGACACACAACCTTAACTATCACAGTGAAACTGATAAAAAGTAGTAAGGCATTTGACTGCTAACCAGAAGGCTGGCAGTTCAAACCTACCAGCCATTCCTCGGAAGAACGACTATTTCAGTAGAGATACCACCTCAGAAACCCAGAGGGGTCGCTATGAGTCGAAACACACTTGAAGGCAGTGAGAGTTGTTTTTGTTTTTGTTTTCTGGCTATGGAGAAAGGAGGAGTCCCTGGGTGATATTAATGGTTAAGCACTCATCTCCTAATCAAAAGGTTGAAGAATTGAGTCCACTCAGGTAACTACTGGGTAGAAAGTCCTGGCAATCTATTTTCAAAAAATCAGCCATTGAAAACCCTATGGAGTACAGTTCTACTCTGACACACATGGGATCATCATGAGTCAGAAACTACTAAAGGCAACTACCCCAAAGGGGCAGAAGGAATGGGGTGGACAGGGACAGGGTGGAAGACTTTCCTTTTATATCATTTTGACATCTGAACCATAATAATGTATTCCTACTCAAAAACTATTACACTAACATTGCTAATAAAAGAAATGAAATAATAAAATAGTACCAAGCTATGGTGGGGTTCAGCTCAGTTCCTGCTGGCTTTCCCACAAGCAGGTTCATATCCATTCACATCCCAGCATTTTACTACTGTGTGTTTCTGATTTGGGGCTCAATTTTTTCTATCCTTTTCTCATTACTTAGAACATCTACAACTAAAAAAAAAAAACTCACTGCCATGGAGTCTGATCTGACTCATAGCGATCCCTCTTTGGGTTTCTGAGGCAGTGTCACTACGGAAGTAGATTGCCCAATCTTCCTTCCGAGGAGTGGCTGGTGGGTTTGAACCACCAGCCTTCTGGTTAGCAGTCAAGTGCCTTAGGCATGACGCCACCAGAGGTCCTAGAACATGTACAGGTGGGATCATAATGTGATTTTTTTTTTTCAGTATGCTGTAGGGTAAATAAGGGGAGCTCTGGTGGTGCCTAAGACATTTGGCTGGTAACCAGAAGGCTGGCAATTCAAACTCACCACCCACTCCTAGAAAGGAAGACTGGGCAATCTAATTCTGTGGGGATTCTGCCTCAGAAACCCAAGGAGGTGTCACTATGAGTCAGATCTGACTGTACCACAGTGAGTTTGGGGTTTTTGTTTTGTTTTGTTTTGGTTTGGTTTTGGTTTTATAGGGTAAACGAGGAACTTTGGTGGCACAGTAGTTAAAGCATTCATCTGCTAACCAAAGATAGTTCAAACCTACCAGCAGTTCCACAGAATAAAGATGAAGCAATCTGCTTCCGTAAAGATTTACAGCCTTGGAAACCCTATGGGACAGTTCTACTCTGTCCTATAGGGTAGCTATGGGTCGAAATCGACTTGATGGCAAGTGGGTTTGGTTTCACAGGGTGTATATCAATCCAGTGTAAGCAGAATGAGATTCCAAGCCTCCAGGGGGCATTTGTAAAGCAGGAGGAGGAGGCCTCCATTAAAGTTCTTTCAAGCTCCTCCACCATCTATTGCCTTAAAGCAACAAGGTACATAGTGCAAGGACTCAACACGTCCTAAAGAATAGCTTTTGGGGGAGCTCTGTCAGTTTATTTCTTTCCAAGTTATCAGTCCCCATTGATTCATATTATTCCAGAAGAAGAAAGTATTAAAATGTGAAGGTTATAGGAGATGAAATCCTTAATATTTACCAAAGCGGGTGTATTTTTCTTCATCTCAAGATGCTGTTCTGCCGATTCCATGTGCAGTCAGATGGATTACAGAGAAATAAAAATTGATAGCAGAGTATTCTGCATAGACGGCAAGGTCTTCTGGATAAATAACTGTGGTTAAAGGACAAATTTTTAATTTAAAGCTAAAGAAATGATGGAAAGAGTTCTCCTGGTGAATGTTCAAAATGCTCATTATCATCTCCCTTCAATAAATAAAATTCCAATATTTTTTTTAAATGTCTGTATCAGAAGAAAACCAAAATGTTAGGTAATGAAACTTTTCTAAGTATAAAAAGGGCATATATAAAGATATATCCCTTGAGGTTGTGTCTTCCCCATGTGTTTATAAGAATTTATTCTGATTTCTGCCAAAGCTGCTATATAAACTAAACTACGTCACATTTTACCAGTGATTTTCATTATGTAGTGAAGCCTCTGTCCACCATGGCGGGGAGGGGGAAATGTTGGCCCCTGAATATAGTAAAATATATGCTTATGGATGCAGTAAACTTTTAATCATTAATCACAATACTCAGTTTACTATAAAGTAAGCTTATCATAAAAGAAATGGGATTCTCATGGGGCCAAACCCCACAGAAGAACTAAGACCTAAAATTCTCTTGGCACTATCTCTCTTTCAACTCACTGTATAAAGCCTGATTTTCAACTGAACAAATACTTTTATATCAGTGACCTCATCTGATTCTCTAAACACAATTAGGAAGTAGTTAAAATATCTATTATTAATATAATTATAGTGATGAACAATATAAGGTCTACTTTAAAGATTGCTTTATCTTTTACAATAAATGTGGGAAACTATTAACAATCATTAAATCTATTTTGTGGGTATGCTCTTCAAAGACTTGTACACAAATATTCATAGCAATTTTATTTGTAATAGCCACTAACCAGAAACAACCAAAATGTCCATCAACAGGGTGATAGATAAACATTTGTGGTATATTCTTATAAAAGAATATCACTCAGCAAATGAATGAACTATTAGAATATAGAATCAACATTGATCCATCTCAAAATAAGCCAGACAAAAAAGGATTACATTATGATTTCATTTATATGAAACCCTGGAAAATGCAAACTAATCTGCAGAGGTAGAAAGCAGATCAATTTTGGGGGAAGGGGGAGGTGGAGAGGGACGGGAGAGAGGGATTACTGAAAGGTCTGAGTAAACTCTTGGGGATGATGGGTATGTTCACTGTCTTGATTTTGATGATTTCACAGGTGTATAATATATATGTATGTTAAGCCTATCTAATTGTATATCTTAAATATGCACATTGTTTTATGTCAATTATACCTCAGTAAAGCAATGCAAACAATAAGAACAACAATTTAGCCACTCTAATCACACGAGATTAGTGTTGGCCCAGAAAGCCTGGCCTCTCATTGAAGCGTCATAGATCAAAGCATTGCTAGAAACATGCAAGAAGTAGGCCCTGGATGAATGTTTGGTTGCTCCAGCAGGAAGTCCCCACAGAGCAGTGAACATGGGGTAGCCCTAGTTAAATAGTCATTGATTCTTCCTGGTTTCCATAGAAGTCAGTCACAGCAGAGTCCATTTCAGTCATATTAAACCTGGATGGATTCATAATCCAAACAGAAAAAGAAGCAATGCCATTGCTTTCATTTGTGTAGCATGTCCATGGGCAACTATTGTTTGAAATGTAAAGTGAGAAAACAATATAGTTTCTAAATTAAATTCATATAGATGTAAGTATACATCTGCATATATATGCCTAGAGAAGTCTAAAATGTTTTTGTCAGTTTGTGACCATTCAACATTTTTTAAGCCAAAGAGACAGTGGCATGGCAAACTAGCCCAGACTTTGAAGTCAGACAGGCCAGGGTTTGAATTCGGGCCCTGCAGCTTCCCACCTAACACCTTTCCTCCCTGTGCCTGTTCTCTTATCTGTAAAGTAGAGAGTGTGTTGCAGAAAGGAGTAAATGAGAATGCATCTAAACTGCCTGGAGCCGATGACTTACTCAATAAATGGTAGTTGTTTTTCGTACAACATATTTTTTGGTGGATTGCACATTCTCTCAAGTTTTATTGATTGAAGCAATTTGAAAAATAACCAGTCAACCAAACATCAGTTACAAAGTTTTGCTTTAGATGGACAAATTAGTTTCAGGAACAAACTATAAGCTGTCCCTAGGTTATGAACAAGGACTCTTCCTAAATCTGTCTTTTTCTAGGTAAGTCAGAACAGGTACATATGGTTCTTATTTAGCGTCAGTCAAATGTCTTAGTATATAGTACGTATTTTAACTCTCTATGCATATAAAAGGAGCTCTAGTGGAGACACTTGCAAATACACTAAAACATCTTCATACAGTACATATAAAAATACATAATAAAAGTAACTACATATGGTACTCTATTGAGGAGTGAGAGAATTTGTGTGTGTGTGTGTGTGTGTAGGTATGATGTACTGAAAAAAAAAACAGCTCTTAATACAATTTAGACAGAAAAAGAAAAGAAAAAAGATCATGATTAGAGGTTAGCACTCACTCTCCTTCCATTGAGGTGTTGCATACTAGAAGGCGCAGTTGTGAAGTAACATTACGATAACATTCAAAATTAGACGATGCAAGAGAAGATGATAGAGAGTTAGCTACTGTTGAAGATACTGGGCCTGGTGTTAGAGAAGATGGACCTGTGTTGGAGAGTCAGGGTTTGATTCTGGTGCTGGAGAGGGGGGATTTACTACTAGAGCCAATTCTTGAAGTAGCCATCAAGGAAGGTTTGTATAGAGCTTTTCTTTTTCTCATCATACGTGGTCTTGTAGCAGCCAAGGCCCTTGGTAACTGTACAATAAATTTTGGTGAACCTCACTGTGTTAGGATCTTGCCTTCTAACTTTACCATCCCTGCTTCAATGAGATGAAAGGTTTCAGCTAACTCTTTCATTAAAAACGTTTTGGTTCTGGAGTGTTTGAGTCCCAGAATTTTTCCTCAAATGCTATCGTCTGCTGCCCTAGTTCCATAGGACTTCATTGGTTAATTCTTCTGCACGGGAGTCAAGTTACTCTACCACATTATTTTCACTGATGTCTAACCACAGTTTATTATCAATGTCAAAAATAATTTCCCTGGCTTTAGTGATGTTGTCAGCTGTAAACCCCTGAAAATCATGTGTGAATTGGGGACATAATTTGTTCCACAACCATTTCATATTTGACTTCTTCACTACATTCCAAGAATCAGCAATATTTTTTATGGCATCATAGATGTTATAATTTCTCAAGAACTCCCTTAAACTCATCACATCCTTTTAGATAGCCCTGACTGCTGGTGAGAAGGTATGCTGTAAACAATAAGCCTTAAAGGAAGCTATGATTCACTGATCCATTGGCTGAAGTAGTTATGTAGCATTCAGGCATAAAAATATGATCTTTACATTGGGGTGAAGGTCATCTAAAATGCTTGGATGTCGTTACATTGGGGTGAAGGTCATCTAAAGTACTTGGATGTTGGGGGGTGTTGTCAAGCACAACAAGAATCTTGAAAGGAGTTTTCTTGGCTAGGCAATAGTGTTCAACAGCAGGGACAAAATGGTTCAAAGGTGGCAGTGGTAACCCAAGCATTTGCATTTTCCTTCCAAGCAGCAGGAAGATATGCCTTAATGATATGGTGAAGTTCTCTCCAATTTAGGGAATGATACACAAGCAAAGGCTTGAGCCTGAAACCCCAGATAGGTTACTTCCAACCAATAACATGAGCCTATCCTTTGATATCTTATGCCTTACTGTGTTTTTTCCCTCTTTTGAAGGGTAGTTCCTTTCAGGTATTTTTTTTCCCAAAATAATTCAGTTTGGCAAATAGCCTCCCTTCGTGATAAATTTTTTTAACCTTTCTGAAAAATCACTGGCAGCACTTACATCAGCACTCGTTGCTTCACCTTGCACTTTAATATGATGCAAATTTGCCCCCATCTTGAAACGAGTGAACCAGCACCTACTCACAACAAATTTTTCATCACAATCCCTTCACTTGCTATATGTGCAGCTTTTAAATCACTCAAAAGACTGAGTCATTTCTTGCACTAAAGTAAGGCTAATAGATGTATTATGCTGATTTTGATCATACAACCAAATTATCAATAGCTTTTCCATTTCAATAATTAAACCACTGCGTTGCTTGGTAATAATTGTAGCTTACAATTGTTTCTTTCATTGGTCAGAGCCTTTCACATGCTCCTTTTTTCTCAGTCTTTAAAATTGTTCTGATCTTTGACCAACTGTATAGCCTGATGCTTTTCGAATGACCAGTCATTTCACCTCTGTCCAATCATTTTATTTCCACTTTAGTTTGATTTGTGATCATTTTCCTTTTCTTTGATGCATCAGTAGAACTTTCATTGGATTTACTCATTGGAGGCATGGCTACAAAGGTAAATAAGAGGAAAATTTAAGCCAAATACAAAATTACACATTCAACACAGTTTTAATGGCAACACGATTAGATTTAAAAAGGCAGACACATTTGTTCTTTGTCCTCAACACATGAACCACTGAAGCTTTGCAATGTTGCCATGAATGTCACAAAGTCATGTCTGTGTTCATTATTGCAAACCATTGTATTTAAGCCAAAATTTTAATACAATAGGCTTTATGGCAGTCCACTGTTAAGTACTAGCTGTTCCTAAGTTGGATGTTCTTAACCCAAGGACTTACTATACCCATTTAATGTCATTCAGGAGGTGAGAAATTCACTTACACAGTGCTTTTGAAAAACTTCCTGGCACCAACATCACCCAAAATGTAACATATATAGAACATATTTGCAGACTTTTTAGGAGGAATATGAAGAAATCAAGGAGTTTAAAAAAAAATTAATTAAAAAAAAAGAAATCAAGGAGTTTAACAGAAAGGTCTAAAGTTTACTAAGGCTCAGATGCTGATCAGAAACATAATATAATGATGTTTATTTACTGAGATTCATATAGTTCTCAGAATTCTCATCTATAATCTGGTGGTAATTTATATGTTTCTTTCAAACCTCTGGGCAAAAAATTGGAAGACTATGAAAGAGAAGAATGTTCCATTGTTTTTAATATGCAATGATAAATTGAATATCTCAATCAATTTTATAAAACTTTTTTTTCTCCTCTGCATGTTTCCATTCTGAATGATGAAATGAAGACCAAAGAAAGAAAGAGATGGGTAATTTGGACTTACTTTATGTTTAGAAATACAGTAAATTTTCTCCACAAATCTATATGTTCTGACTGACCATTACAAACAATTTTTACATATGATGTCTAGGATAAACCAATGACCTTTTGTTGTTGTTGTTATGTGCCATCGAGTCGGCCCTGACTCATAGAGACCCCTCCTTGGGTTTCCGAGGCAGTATCACTACGGAAGTAGGATTGCC